ATAATTCAGGGACAACAGTCCTTACTCTTCCAAAGGCCAAAACTACAGCTTGTTGCTAGTTGGTGGCTCTTTCCTTGAGGCCTTTTGACTCAAACTCCACTTCATCCATGAGATTCTCACACCACTGCCCTTTCGAGAGACCAAAAGATCTAGCAAAGGCTGACTGGTTTGAGGAAGGACCTTCCAGTTTTTAACTCTGATGTGTCTGTTGGTCAGGACATTTGCTGACAGGGAATTCGAGCATTCCTGAAGCTGCCTTCAAGGATTCCTTTTCAACCAGGCCTGTTTGATGTCTGTGGGTCCCTGGGGCTCATGTGCTGTCACAAGATGCCTTAAAATCAACCTAGTCCTCCACTGGCCCATGCGTCCTCCTGGAAAATATACCAGAACATTCTTTAGCATCAGAACAGCTGCATCTGGCACTGCTCCAGCCTTCATCTCCAAGAAGCTCGAATTCGGCCCCTTTATTACCATTCCCATTTTTATTAGTGTTCCGGAGCAAAGAGTCTGCAGCTAAAGTTATTGAATTTTCACTAAAACCTAAATACATGCACGACCCTTCTGTACTTTCATGTTCAAAAAGGGACAGACTTCCAACTGCTGTCTCCTGCCTCTGCCCGTGTCTTTCCTCATTACAGGCTGTGGTCCAAAACCAATACGGATTAAATAAATATCCCACTGAGAACCGCACTTGGGAGAATTGTCTCATTACCGTACAGATGTGGGCTATCTCCAAACAGCACCAACATCTTGTATTTTATTTTATATTAAAAAAAAAAAAGAAAGAAATTAAAATCCGAACAGTATCCAGGAAGGAAGTGTTTGCACGGGTGAATGTTTGATTTCATTTTTCTCCCAGCATGCCCTTTTCTTTTATCCCATAATGGCTCTTCTCAGTTAATCTGTCTTGAAAACCCGCAGGTAGAGATGTTTATTGATACAAGCCCTACGTGCAACTCGGTTTACAGAGACCATTGAACGTGCATGTAGTAAATTTCGCTTGATGTCTCCTTATTAATGCAATTCCACTCTGAACATTTCAACAGAAAGAGGTTTTGCCAGATGGGGGATAAGTCTTACGTTATAGACATATATGGAAGAAAACATTTGGTTTCCATTCTGAACGACTGATCCAGGCTGTCCCAATGACTGCATTTTTCAGGGCAGGTCACCAAATTCAACATCAATTACTCTGCCTTTTAGCAGAGCTTAAGAGAAAAAAAAAAGTTGTTGTTGTTTAAATCACCAAAATTTCATAAAAACATTTCAGCCTCCCATGTCGTACAAACAACAACAAATTACTTTCATAATTTCACAAAAGCAACTTTCACCATGGTTCGCACAGAAACATCCTGTACCCTGAAACCACAAATCCAACTTCCCGGCAGCTGGTAAACGTGAATCCCCAACATAATGCCCACAGAAGTTTGTTCCCTTCGACCCACCCAGGATCCAATGTTGGTGGACAGAAAAGCAGGGCAGAGGAACTTACACTTCCTTTATGCAGATTGTGGAGAAATATAGCGGGGAGACATGCACTCTACAAGGCCTTGATGGTCCATCTGTGGAACTGCAATAGGAAATCAATGGCTAAGTCCAGACTAGGGCGCGGAATTCTTCCAAGTAATTGTTTTTCCCTTCCTCCCGTCTCTGGCCCCTCCTCTGTTAAAGACTTAACATCGCCTTGCTCATTTAGAGCATAATTGAGACTCCACTTTTATTTCATCATCCTTCCCCTTTCATTGATCATTGCTAATTTTCTGGCTCAGTGCCATCTAGGGAATGGGTTTACATAACCCCCCCAGAGTTTCGATTGGAGTCACCCGGAGAAAAAGAGGGTTGTGCTTTCACAAACCGACAGCCAGTATGAGGAGTTGACTGAGGACTCAAGGATGTCTCCTACCCTCAACCCTTCTACCTGTCTGCCAGACCACCCAGATTTAAGAAAATATCCGCCCTGCCCCCAGACTCAGCCTGGCACCTCGGATTGTGACCTGAGCATCCCCTCGCCATGCAGCCCAATGAAGGAACCAATCCCTTCCCCCACACGTGCAAAAAAGAGTGGGTGGCCACATACAGCTGTGCCTCCAAGTAGCCAGATGTGAAAAACAGCACATCTGTCTGCAGTTTCTCTGTTCAGACCAAATCACTGATTTTTCATTCATGCCTGAGAACATGTGCCAAGGAGAGATTTAGAACCACAAAGTCTCATCTCCCCCTTCCAGATGCACCAGTCTGGGGGCAGGGAAAATTTACAAGGTGCATGTGGCAAAGCCTTGAACTTAGGCAAGTATAAGCTTGGAAAGAGGGAAAGCCAGCCTGACAGAAAGGATCAGAGGGAAACAGTTCCCAGCATGGTATCCCAACATGCCACTCTGCCATCCCAGGAGGGGAAAGAAAAAAAAATCACAACTGTGAGAAATGTGATGAAACTGTCAAAAGCATATGAAATCAGCACCAGGGATTGGGACCCGCATGTCACACATCTATTTGTTCTGTAACAGGGTAGGAATGGCAACGTTTCCATCAAGAGAGGAAACAGAGGTAGTGACATCACAAGAAAAGACTTATCCATGAGGCATCCAATTATCTGTGCACCCTCACCCACCAACGTATCATCATACACCCATGAGGATGGGAGCCCACTACAATTTCACCATCCCAATCTAGCGAAGCATTTGAAGATTTGGAAGCAATGGTGTGCTGGACTCAACTTGTGCCTCACAGAGCCAAATGTCAAGTTTTCAGGAAATTTGCAAGTTAGTTAATATGTTGGTAACTTGGAAGTGACCATGTCAAGGGAATATTTACATGGAGGGAATGGGATTTTCTCCCCTTCTTCAGAGAGCAGGTTGTTCAGCAGGTACTAAAACCTTTGGTGGGAGGACTCTTCACCTGAGATCAGTCAGCAAAAGGGCTAGAGTCACTCTGTCCAGTTCTCTTTCAAGGTCCCCAAACTACTCAAGCCCCAGACTTTCTAACTAGCATCAGCAAGTATCTAGCATTCCCAGAAATGCCCAAGGATAGGCAGGGAAAGTGACAAGGGGAGGAACAGACCTTTCAGGTCCACACCCCTGATTCACCTCAGCTTCAGCTGTTAGAGTAGAGTCTCCACTTCAGGTGTCCTGTCCAGGTTCCGCCTCTCTAAAAGCTTAGCTTAATGCAGAGACTGCTTCCATGGTTACCTATCTGCCTGTTGCATTCTTTGGAGAATAGTTACTTATGCAAGGTCGCACCATGAGTCCAAGTCTCTGGGAGAAGGACCCTGGGTCCTAGACTGACTTGTTGCGGACTAATTGTGTGACTTTAGACCAATCTATTTCCCCTCTCTGGTGACCGGGGTGTGGGGAGGGGGGGTGGGGTGGACTTGGTGGTCTGTGACTAAGGCACTGCTGTCTTTGACACTGACATTCAACCCTGAGCTCTTGGTCTAAATGGACTCTTGAAGGAGTGTGGAGAAATATAGGAAACAGACGGACAATTGCTGGGTCATAGGGTAGTTTCACTTTTAACTTTTTGAGGAACCTCCATACTGTTTTCCAGGGCGGCTGCACCAGTTTGCATTCCCACCAGCAGTGCAAGAGGGTTCCCCTTTATCCACATCCTTGCCAACATCTGTTGTTTCCTGAGTTGTTAATTTTAGCCATTCTGACAAGTGTGAGCCCCCTTAATGTTTATAGCAGCGCTATCAACAACAGCCAAATATGGAAACAACCCATCAACTGATGAATGGATAGGGTGTGGTTTATATACACAATGGAGTATTACTTAGCCATCAAAAAGAATGATATCCTGCCATTTGCAAAGACATGGGTGGAGCTAGAGAGTATAATGTTAAGCCAAATAAGTCAGTCAGAGAAAGACAAATACCATATCATTTCACTCGTACATGGAATTTAAGAAACAAAACAGATGAACCTAGGGGGAAGGGAAGGAAAAATAAGATAAAAACATAGAGGTAGACAAACCATAAGTGATTTTTAACTATAGAGAACAAAATGAGGGTTGATGGACGGGAGGTGGGTAAGGGGACGGGCTAGATGGGCAATGGGTACAAAGGAGGGGCACTTGTTGGGTTGAGCACTGGATGTTATATGTAAGTGATGAGTCACTAAATTCTACTCCTGAAACCAATACTACACCATATGTTAACTAACTTGAATTTAAATAAAATCTTGGAAGAAAAAAAAAAAGAAACAAATGGGCAAATGCCATTGAATTTTACAATAGAAAACATGAAACTGTGATCAATGATCCTGGACTCCTGCTAAGTCTGAAGACCTGCTTATTTTCTGAATGACCCATGAGCCCTTGAGAGGAAAGTATCAGGACTCCACATGAGTGCTATAGAAACAACTCAGCCAGACCATTAGTTGGGGCATCTGAGTTATACAGATCTGGATTCAAATCCCAGCTCCACCACCTGCATGCTAAATGACAAGGTCTTTCCGACCTTCTATTACCTCATCTATAAGATAGGTCATAATAACCCCCACTCTGTAGGACTTTTGTAAAAATAAATGAAGTAAACCACAAGAAGCATTTAGCATCATGCCAGCCCAGACTAAGCACTTAATAAACAGCAGCTATTAACATTATTATCCTCAGATGGTGGGGCTGAATTGAGAGACCAGAAGAATGAAACCGATTTGGAATCTGCAGTCCTAGCTTTGACCTAAGTTGAGTCCATACCTGGGGTTCATTTGGACTTGGGTTTCTAAGACAGACTGCTGACTATATTGGGCTCTTAAGGCAAACTTTTGGGTAGACTGGCTGGGAGGTGAGTTGTACAAGTCAATTTAGATTGGAATCAGTCACATCTCTTAAGTTCGGAGTGAAAGGAGCAAAGACATACGCTACAGAGGCCATGATGGACTTATTCAGGTCCAGGACCTGAACCAAGACCTCATGCCCCATGGTCCTCTAAGAAGAAGCTTCAGGAAGAGGCTGGAGTTGCTGAGAGCTAGTGCTCCAGCCGTCCTCCTGACGGACCCACACAACAGCATGTGACCCCAAGAAAGGAAGGCTACACTTCTCACTTCTGCACCAGATTAAATGCGGTTTAATCAATGGGATACCAAGGACTGGTACCAATGTCTGGGCTAATGCACACTGAACATGGGAATTGCATTCTTGTGGGCCATCCCAGCAGCAGGCAGAGTAGTGAGGTGCATGGACTGCGAATGTCAGCAGGAAAGGAGGAGCTGGAGAGAAAGAACTTGGCCAACTCCATTATCTGGGGAAGGAGACACTCCTAAGCACACAAGGGACTTCCCAACAAGACTGGGAGGACTGTTCAGAGGCCCATCTAGGCAGGGCCAGAGCGAGTAAAACAGATGGAGGTTAATTAACGTGGTCTCAGGTTTAACTCCAACCTGGTAACCTGGATAAATTTGGGTTCTGCATCTTGTGTCTGGAATGAAGCAGGCAGCCATGTAACAGGTGCTTTCAAGATGTCCTTCTGTGAGTTGGTGCTAGTGCTCCAAGGTGGATCCACGACTGATTGAATGTATCTAAAAGGAGACTGTCACCTGGTTGAATAATTAGAGTCACCTGTAGAACTTTTAGACAACACTGATGCCTGTCTCTACCCTTGATGGTTTTTATTTAATAAATATGAGAGGAGACCTGAGCCTTAACTAGGGTTCCTATCATCCCAAGTGATTCTCATAAGCAGCCACGGCTGAGGAACAGTGGCCTAAGAGGACCAGAAGAGGCCATGAGGAATCTCTCTGATTCCTTCTTGGTCAATATTAAGTCAGTGGCCTTGATGAGGCTTTCCAGGTTCGTGGTTCATGTGTAAGAGGACCTGAAGTCAGAAAAGATCACCAATGGACTCACTGATGGCATCTGGATCCAACCGGATCTCAACACTCCACTTTTCAAAGTAGCGGGTTGCCCATCAATGGATCTGTTCAAGGAGAGAGTAGCAGTCCTTCTATGGTCCCTGCCTACAAAGCACTTATCACATCTTATCTTCACCATAACATGTGTGCATGCATGTACAGATAAGGTTTAGAGCAGGTAAACAACTGTCTGAAGTCACCCAAATAGGTAGCATCCCCAAAGGCCAGCCCTCCAAGAAGTTCTAGGTCTCAGCCCAGACCCTCTGACTCTTAGACCATCTCACCTGACTCCAAAGCTCCATCACTGCCTCTCTTGGGTCATGGGATGCTCAAAGCTCTAGAGAGGATACCTTCAGGGGGAAAATGGGCCACAGGACCTTGAAGGATGCTGCCAGCTCTGAATGCCTGTCAGCAACTCTGCCACGGAGGCTGTGGCTGCATCAGCAACACACCCTCCCCAGGGCCTGGCTCCTGCCAAGGCACGGCCACTTCCTGAAGCCTTCTCTCAGGAAGGAAATCCCAGTCATCATAAAAGGAAAATAAGGAAATAAAATCTTAATAGGATTTCATAGATGATATAAAATCTCTACAACTCTGGGTGACAGACACTAAAAAAGATCATTTAGAGGGAAAAAAAAGCTTTCTAAGACTTCCTGTGGGATTGGTTGTCTCAAGAAGCTTGGATGGTGGTCGTATATAATGTCATCAGTTCTAGTTCCCAACGGGAGGCTGTTCCAGCAGGGCCTGGGCTGGATGGGGTGAGGGGTTCAGGAAAAGTTACTTGGAAGCTCACACCCAAGATGCACACAGAGTTGTGGGATGACCCTAAAACATAGTCTTGTCGGCCTGACCACCTCCTCTACATCCCTCAAGCCTCGGCTCAGCTGCTACGCCTTCTGCAAGACTTCCTTGAATCCCAACAGACTCAGGCCCTGCACATCCTCCCCGGTACCCCTGGGGCATGCTTCCCTCTCACAGCAGACTTTCTCAGAAAGTTCCATGGAACACTGGCACTGGCATCAACAGTGGGTATCTTGTTAGCAACAGACCCCTGAGATACACCCCTATACCTGCCATTTCAGAATCTCTGGGGGTGGAGCCCAGGCACCTGCATCTCTAACACACCCCCAGGTATAGGTAGCATTGCATCTCAGACCTGGTGGCGGGAAGGAGCCAGTCATGTGAAGCTCTATGAGCAGTGTGATCCACACAGAGAGAGAATGGCAAATGTAAAGGTCCTGAGGTAGAAAAAGAGTTTGGAAAGTTCGAGGAACAGCCACAAAGGCAGCATGGCTAGAAATGGGTGAGGGAAAAAGTGGCAGAAGTTGAAGTTTAGAGGGGCTAGCCTGGGGCTAGAGCCTGAGGGGGTTGAAGTGTAGACCTTATTCTAAGTTTAATGGAAAGCCACTAAAAGCCTTTGTTGAAGATTGAATTATTGGTCCTAAGTCTTTATCTCACCACAACTAATTATATATCTACACCTTCCTTATGGAGTTATGGTGGAGTGTACTTCCTTTCTCCTTGACCCTTGGACTTGGCCCCATGATTTGCTTTGAGCAATCAGATGGTGTTGGATGTGTTGGGAATGAAGCTTGAAATGTTCTTGTCAGGCAAACTTGCCCTCTAGTGTCCCTGTTTTTCTCCAGGAGGAGAATATGCCTTGAGTAGCCACTGGACCAAAGAGAAAGACAGACATAGAGAGCAACCCTGGGCCCAACCTACAGTCTGCAGCCAAACTCAGCCCAGATCAGCAGAGCCTCAGCCAACCCTTGGACACATGAGCAAGAAAAAAATGTCTATTACTGTGTAGCACTGAGTTTTAGGGTGAATTATTACACAGAATTACCTTGAAAACGGCTGTCAGATAAAGGCTTGTAGCAGGGGAGTGTTTGATTTTATTTCGGTTTTGTAAAGACCTCTCTGGTAGCCATGAAGAGATTAGATTGTGAAAGACAGATGTGGAAACAAACACAGAATTGTGTTGCAGTTTCCTGGGTAAGATTGTGATGGCAGTGGTGGAGATGAAGAGAATGACACAGATTCTGGAGGTACTTGGGAGATCAGAACTGACAGAACTTGCTGATGGATAAATTTGGGGAGATGAGGTCAAGACCACGTCGCATAATTCCGGGAGGAACCATATATATGCAGTGGTGCAACAAGGTACCTTGCAACATAGTGAAGGAAATAGAGAAAGCAGAGATAAATGTCTTCTAGGTTTTTGGCCTATGTGACTGAGTAGACAGGCCAAGATAGGGATGACCTAGGAGGAAGAAGTCTGATGTGGGGGTGGGGGGGGGGGGGCAGGGCAGGTGGACCAGTAGCTCTGTTTCAGTCGTTCTAAGTTTTAGTGTCCATTAGACATTCAAATGGCGATATAAGTAGGCAGTTGGATACATAGGTTTGGAACCCAGTAGATTGCTCAGGGCTGGAGTTGCAAATGAATGCACAAACATTTGACCTTAGTGTGGCGTATCTGTGCTCAAACTGTTCCCTTTGCTACCTCTCCGTAGGTCACTAAGCTTCTATTTCTCCTTTAAGGCCCCAAACTTCTCCTTCACCTCCAGTTACTTGTTCTTACTTCTGTGCTCCCAGAGTTTGTAGTAAATGTCCCACACGATACAAAATAGTCTACCTCCCCCACTCGACTGCAAACCGGAAATCTTTATGTTGCCAACCCTCAACTGCATGCGTAGCTCATGGTCAATGTTCAGTAATATCAGCTTTCCTCCAATGGGTTGGGTACTCTTAGCAGCCACAGTCCATCTAAACTTCTCAACAGCACAGCAGGTATGATTATCCTTCCATTTTAAAGTTGATGAGAGTGAGGCCCCGAGCTGTTAGGGTCTTGCCCGAAGTTTCTGGAAGTGGAAGAACCTGAACCTGTCTCGTTTTGCTGTCGGGGCTCTTTCCTTGTTGGCTCTGCCCCATCCCTGCTCCCCCATCCCCTCCCTCCTCCCTGGCAGGGCTCCCACGCTGCCTGTGCCTCCACACAGGATGTGCTTCCTGAAGTTCCTGGTCCAGATGGCCCACGGAAGCTGCTCCTCATAAATCACTAGGCCTCGCAGAGCTGCGCTCAGCCACTTTCTCCTCTCAATCTCCCCAGGTCCCGGTGCGTGGGCCCCATCTGCCCAGTCAGCAGAACTGGCTCCTCTAGCCTGGGGAGTATGGCTATGGTCCCCCTCCCTACCAGGTCCAGGAGCCAGAGAACAGATTCCTGAGAGCCAGTGAGAGGACTCACAGAGTATCTTTGTTAGGAACTTGGAAGTGACTCAACGGGATGGGCAGGGGCAGGGAGAGCAGTGCTTCAAGCTTTGTCCCTGGGGGAGGTGCAGGTACGAAGGGCTATCTAGTCCACCTGCCAGCCAGGCCCCACCACCACTGGATACTCAGACCCCTTTGTTCCCTAAGCAAGAAGACAACACGTCACAGGGTAAATGCATACTTGGCACTGTAGAGTCCCCCAAAATTTCCAAACACAGATCAACAGCTTCAGTGACAACCACTGAAGGGCCAACACACCTTGGACAAGTCACTCTCTTCCATAAACTTCAATTTACTTGTTTTTTTAAATGCAGGTAATAACACCTACCTCATAACATTGCTAAGCTATCAATAGATACTATTTCAAAAAAGGCACATGGTGGACCCTTGGTACATGGTAGGAATATAAACGTGAGGCATGCCAAGGTATTGTACCATTCAAAACTGGGGGAGAAGGGGACAACATGGACCTCACTGACTGAGGTTTTCAGAAGGCTCCTCCTTCCTTTCCATTCCACTGCCACAATCCCCTTCGTGTCACTGGAGCACAGATTGACCAGATGTGTAACTCTCCTGCCTAAAATGCTTCAGCAGCCCCACAGTCGCCTTTGACAATAACTCTTTGCTATATTTTCAGGCTATAACTCTAATACCTATAGTTTGGGGCAGCTTGGTGGCTGTGGCAAGTTAGCTAGCTGCCCACCAAGATGCACACTCCCGTTCCACAGCATGGAGCTGTCGGACCATCGTTGTTCAGCCAGGAACACAAATTCCAGTTCCCCTTCCGCCTAGATGGAACCAGTGGAATAGGAATGAAAGTGACATGCACCTCCCCTCCAGGCAGAGATGTTTAGGGAGCAGGCACCCCTCCTTCACTTCTCTTTTCCCAACTGCCAGCTGCAGGAAAAGACTAAGACACGAGGAGATGGTGGAGCCACGGAATGGAAGCTACTTCAATCCCTGAATGCCTCTGTAGAGCAGAGCCCCAGTACTGCCAATCAATAATTCGTATTTTGGACTACACCTGTGGGAAAATCATTTATTTGTGGGGGTTTTTTGTTTGGTTTGCTTTGAGAGAAAGAGAGCATGTGGTGGGGTCGAGGGCCAGAGGGAGAGGGAGAAAGACAATCTTAAGCAGGCTCCATACCCAGCACCAAGCCTGACACAGGGCTCAATCTCACCACTGTGAGATCGTGACCTGAGCTGAAATCAAGAGTTGGGACACTTAACTGATTGAGCCACCCAGTTACCCAGAGAGAAAATTTCTTTAAGCCGATAATATTGCAGAATTTATCTCTCATAGCGACTGGAATTACCCTAACTAATAAAAGGGGGTTAAAATACTCAAAATGGTGTGAAACTAATCAATAATAATGACAATGTGATCATGGCTACAGTGTAACAATACCTCATAGAATCTATAAAGGCACCTACCACTTTCTGATGATTCAGTGAGAGACCTTTCAGTACCACAGGTCAGTGTGAATAGATTGGGTGCCCCGACCATGCTCTCTTACATACTCATGAGGCAACCTTCTTGACTATCCTACTAAATATGCCCGATTTCCATCTTGTCACATGACCCATCTACCTGCTGGTGGTGTCAGCCTCTGATTTCCATCTGAGCATCCATCCCATCCTGATTCTAAGTCTAGGGGTTCTTAGCCTGGCCAAAGTTCTACACCCACCAATGGCAGTGATTGGCCTAGAAGGAGGCACATGATCTACATGAGTTGAATCATCCATCCAGTAAGTATCAAGACTGTCTGGCTCCACCGGGACAAACACAAGTACTTTCTTCTCCTGGATTCAACCCTAGAAAGAGGCCAGCAACCACAAGGGGAGAGCCTAAGAGAGGGTGTTGCCAATATGGCAGAAGACAGAACAAAAGAGAGTGAATAGATGGACAATGATTAAATCAGACCATGTCTTTTCCTTTATGTAAATCAGTAAATTCCCTTTCATCCTAACTCCAACTTTGAATGGATTTTATGACTGACCGGGACTAAAGGGCCACCATTTGGAGCTCACCTCTGAAGGATTGGAAGCTACCAGGAGGGAGAACGTCTGGCCTGGAGGATGGAATTCAGACTCAAGAGTCCTGCGCACCTCTCACCTATTTCCCTGCCATCTTCCCAGCCACCACACCAACGATGTCAAAGTCCCAGAACGCAGAGACCCTCCTCATATGCCCTCATCTCTGCCATTCCTGATCCCACTGTCCTCACCCACCGTCTTAGCCACCTGCTCTTTTCAGCCTCCCCTACCTCTCACTCCTCCCAGAGCCACAACTTGTTTCTAATTAATCAAATTCCTTCTCTCTCTGTCTCTCTCTCTCTCTCTCTCTCTCTCTCCCCCTCTCTGTCTCTCTCTCTCGTTGTTGTTCAAATCTATGTTAGTTCTCTACCAAAATAATCTGGCCTTAAAAAAAAAAATACCCAAGGAGGCATTGGCCCAGTTTCAACATGAGGTCTCATTGAAACCACTTCAGGAAGGATGACAACACCACAGATTTCCTGGGAAGAGAAGATTTAAATCCATCTCAGAAGACCAGAGGAGCGAAGAAAATGGGCATCACTACTCATTCCCAAGGTCTGGCCTGAGAAAAACTCAGGAGAGGCCAACTGCTAAAAAAAATAATAATAATACCCACAGAGAGGAAGTCTTTTCTTCAGGAGGAAGACTGACTCAGGCCCTCGACCCACATCTCT